GGTAGCCATCTTGGTTTTTCTACTGGCATTATCTGGCCTTCAGAGTGGTTTTAGGGTACAAAATGAGGCCTGTAAATACTGCCAGACCCTAAGAAATTGAGACTAAGGGCTTCACCAAACCATAGCACTGACAGAGACACTAATCACAGGTTGCTAAACCAAACATTGGTAGCTGGTGTATTTTGAATGTGCAAAATCAACAGGGGACTTAAAATAGCTAGTGACCATTTACTTCCTCTTACCTTTTTCATTATTTGACAGAGATTCATCTTGTCAGCTGTCAGAGATTAGTGTCAGATTTATGATGATTTTTGAAATGAAAACTGGGGACATTTTTGGTTTGGTGTTTATATGTCATATGTTATGTTAAAAAATACAATGTTATTATATATGACATAAATAAGGGGGACGATTTCGGTTTTATAATCTGTCAAATGTAACGCTTCTAAATGGAATCAAGTCATTTTCAGGCAGAACTAGCTTTCAGTCAATAAGTAGATGCTGCAATCACTTTATGGCAACTTTTATGGTTTGTATTGGCCATTTAAAGGTATTTTAACAGGTAAAAAGGTCTGGATTGGCTGGTACACAGCAAGTAAAATAATGTAGAGTCATAAGGATAACTGCAAAAGAGATCATGTCTTTATTTTATGGATAACTCTGCAGTAAGTCATGTTAATTAGGCTCTAGGCTACATTCTGTTTTCCAAACATAAACAAGGATATTAGAAATAGGCTGAACGAACACATAATCCATCGGCAACAACAGGCTTCTATTATTGCCAATAATCATGTAAATGGCATGCCTGGTTACGGTATGAAACTGTAAACACAATTGTGGTTATTCCATTAAAATAAACGTTAAAGTCTCACAAAGACATACCTTTGTTATTACCATGGCCTTAAAGTGGTGTATCTGCACGTATCTGTTTGATCCAGATCAAAGCAGCTGTAAATGTAAAGAGACTGGGTGATACAGCTCTAACATGCTGCGCGCACTCCCGCAGACGGCAATCAGTTTTCGGTGGAAAGATCACTTTTCGGCATGACACCTGTATGCTCTGCTGTCCAGTCTTTCTGGCCACGTAAAATCTGATTCCAGGTCTGTTAACACCTTATACAGTCGATGATTAACAAGGGGATATTTTCGGGGACAGCTCTAGATGGGGACACCACCAAAACCGAGTACTGTCCCCGGAAAACAGGGGATGTCTGGTCACAGTAGGCATATCAGGTGTACCTTATGATGTATCACACGTTTCTTAATATCAAAAACTAAGATAGAGTTAAAATGATTCTCAATGATTTTGATTGCACAGCATTCTTCAAAACCATAAAGATTTACATTTTTAAGGAATATGTCAAGATTTTATTAGCTGTGCTGCTTTGAGTAACAAGCTCAAAGCAGCTGTGAGGCAGTTGAGATTTACAAACTAAGCCTTACATTTATCTGTTGTTCCACTTACAGGTTTGATGTACAATGATACATGATTGGAGTTCTTGGTAGGCTTATTTTTTCACCGTGGACAGAGCCAAGCTAGCTGTCTCCTACCTTGGCTGAACACATTTTGACTCCACCGTAGAAAGAGACATGAAATTCAGTCTTCTCAGGTCACTCTTAGAAAGATAAAAAGAATGATAGTTAAACTACTCATTTAATATGATTACAAATTACAAAGATTTAAACCTAACTTCTGTGCGAAGAACTCTGAAACAACATGACAGGATCTTCCATCATCAGTAAGTTTGGGTTAGCCTATGTGATGAATACTTCTAGGGTTTTCATCAAACAGTGGTTTACTTGAATATTTATGCAACCTTCTTGCAAAACTCCCTCCAGTCTTGATTAATTTGATTAATTGATAACACAGCAGAGTGGAGGCTTGCTGCAGAAGGTTTATTCAATGCTACGGTCTAACATATTATTGAAAAGTTGAGGCTGAAAAATGGCAAAGGGACACGTTGGTTTGTTTTGGCTTGGGTGCCTTGTTCCATTCTACAAAATGGGTTTGCAGACTACTGGTGTGGAGCCGCTCTCTTTTATTTGACTATGTGCCTCACTGTGAGAAAGGGAAAAAATGGCTTTGTATAATCACCAACCAGCCATATGGCCCCCAAAAAAGGAAAAAATGTTGGCAACTGTTTTTTGTGCAGAACATTAAAAAGAGAGCAAGAGAGAAAGAGAAAGAGGGGCAGAGGGAGACGTTTCTGACCGCAACTCATAAACCGCACTTTATTTAGACTGGCGTGCACCCATTATTTGTTCACAGGGGCTTTCAGTCAGTCTGAGGGAAATATGTTCCAGCATCTGGGGGAGGGAGGGAAAGGGGAATGATGGAGGAGAGAGAGGAGGTGGGATGAACTCTTGCCAGGTGTCGGCCGTTGCCATGGCGTTCCATCAGGCGACTCCATTGCGGCTCGGCGGGCTCATCAGAGACTGAATGCCAAGGGGGAGGGTGTTTGCGCCGTGGAGAAACTGAAAGTGGTTCTAAAGCACTGGGCTCAAACCAGCCTCCCCCACCCCCTTCTCCTCACTGCCACCTACCGCCCACCACAACACCTTACGGGAATGTATGGAATGTGACCTGTTTGTGGGATGCATGATTGACAGGGAGGGTCTGTGTAATGCAAGGCTGGCTTCCTCAGTTAAGTGCGCCACTGCAAATTCAACGTTTTCTATGACATATCGAGGAGAGTTGGGGTTAAAATAGGGGTTGATAATTCCTGTTAGATGGATTTGCTTTTTTTTAATGTTTCAAACCCCAGGCCTCCCAAGTAGGTTACCAAGCTGTATGGGTTTCATTTTGGGGGGGATTCTCCAGAACGGTAGGTTATGCTCCAGCTTCCGCCATGGCAGGAACTGGGGATGTCATTTTGACATCCACAAAGCATGATTTGCTTCAAATTCCAAATATCAGTGACATTTTGTCTCAACCACTCTCATGCTGCTATGCTATGAATGATTTACATTATTAGCCTCTCCACTACCCATGGTTCTTAGCAGTTTCCACGTTCATGAATATTATGGCATTGTTGCAAATGTCACCACCATCATCATTGATACACAAAACAGCTCTATCCCTATTCACCTAGGCTATATTCCTGCTCAGCTGCAACTGTAGGCCTACATATTCACAGACTGAATAGGCCGCGCTCGCTGCAACTCTTAGCAACTGTTGCTATGTGTAACATTGTTGAACTCCACCTCTCGCTCGCTCTTCAAACGAGAATGACTAATCCATCACGGAGCATACTGAAAGCTCTTGGTGAGGCCTCTGGAGCCGCTTGACGCCCCCCGTAACCCTCTCCTGGATGTTTCCTCATTACTTTATAATGTATTCACGCTTATGCTTCCATGGCGCTCGCCCTGGCCTCGTAATGGGAGGAAGCAGTGAGCTGTTCCAATGCATACGAGCCCAGCACAATTTGCACTTCATTTTATTAACAAAAAACAGCCAGCCCAGCTTCTGGCTGTGCCTTGCCAAAGCTCTCCAGGCTCCAATGTGTACTGCTGACAAATTTCCTGCAATGTGACGACAGGATAGAGTCTCTCAGCATCAGTGGGGTACCTCCGCTGGCCCCCGGGAGATGCTGTCATTATGCGTGTTTGCAATCATGGGAGCTGAATACCTTGGCTGGAAGTGAGGGAGAGGACTGACGGAGGCAGAGGGAGAGGGGAGAGATTGAGGGGGAGAGGGAGAGAGAGAATGAATGTTTCGGCTCCTCGGTGGTGTTTTGAGCTTTCTGAAATGCATGTGCTATCATAGCAATGTTGTGTTTACCACAGCAGGAGGCAAACACAGAGTCGCAGAGGAGAGGCGCGGAAACGCCAGACACAGTAAAATGAGCAAAATACATACATTAGGACTCTCTGTATTCACTACACACAAGCGGAGCTGAGGGGGAAAAACTCATTTCAATATAAATGGAAGACAAGCAGGGAGTGTGTGTCTTTATATCAGCTTTTGAACATCTCTTTTTTCCCCTTTTTGCTCACCCATGGAAATATCCAGCAGAATCCCTGGGACGAGTTTTGCTGGGAAGTCAGGATGTCAATGTTAATTTTCTTCCCGTTGCTAAGGAGACTCTCTCACAGAGGCCCTGTTCCCTCCCCCGTGGTCACCGTGCTTTCAGTCAAAGAAGCCTTTCTGTCTCTAGTCTTCTCCGTTGTGCAATCAGACAGTGAGGAACATCTCTGCATCAGGCTGCTTCATGGACCGGCAGACCTCAACATCTGGGGGCTATATTGATTTCCAGTGGGGGGGGGGGGGAATGTCTCCCTATGAACTATTCAGATACCTTAGCACACAGCCAATCTTCTGCTGTGATTGTCATACCGGTGTTTTGATGGCATGGTGTAGTAGCCGCGTGCCTTACACAGGAGTAACACAAGCAAGCACTTTAATATATCAATACCACACCCCCCTTTGAGCCGGAGACTTAGCTGGTAGCCACATCAAGGGGAAATTGCTAATGTGAGGATTGCAAGGAAAGCATTGTAAACACTAAACATTTTAGTCTGACAAAGGCAAGTCAGAAGTGGAAATCACTGAAACAAATAGCTGTTGAGTGGCTGCCTCAAAACGTAGCCTCCATAGTCACCTTTCCGACTGACACGCTGTGGTAGTTATCATGTAACACATCAGGAGCTGGGGGGGGGGGGCTGTATGCCAGACATGAACCCACTTTACCTTACTGAGCTTGTCATCTCCCTGCAACTGCACAGAAACTACAGCTCAACTGATTCACTTTCAAATGTTTGTGTCTAAATCAATCAATCAGTCAATCTGAGGAGTTCTTAGTATTAGGGTGGAAATAGAAAAGAAGCATTTTACTGCTCAAAGGCTTGATTTAATAGCTGATGTAAACCTCTTGCAGCATCATTTCATTGTTTTTTTTCATGCTCATGAAAATCCTTGTCGTTTCTGCAACAACTTCAGTTGTATGCTGTCATTTGAAAAACATCGACATACGTTTAAAACAAACCCCAAAGAGAGTGAGTTTTGTGTGGTAAATTTTATTCAGTTTCACACAGTGAGATACAGCCTGAAGGTTTCATTTGCACATGACAGATTGAATTACATTACAATTAGACAAGATTTTTCTGCAGTCACAATAACATTATTGTCCTTGGCACATTAATCAGTTTGGTTTAAGTTCAAGTTTGTGTGAATCAACTTAATATCGGAAATGCATTAAAGTTCCAAGCATCTATTTTACACTCCAAGAACCAGGAAGGCCATTTATTTTCTAGATAAATCCTTTGAAATGTCAAAAAAATATTGAAAAAAAATGTCCATCACAGTTCCCCAGACCCCAAGGTTACATCTTCAAATATCTTGTTTTGTCTGATCAACACTACAAACCCCCAACATATTCAGTTTACAATAATATAAAACAGACAAAGGCAGCTGACATTGGAAGTCAGTGAACATTTAACAATTTGGCTAAAACAATCTGGGAACAAATCGATTATCAAAATAGTTGATGAATAATTTTCTGTTGATGGACTAATCGTTTGTGAATGACTCAATCAAATCGTTTTATTATACATGCAGAGCACATACAAAATGTCAGCTGCACACTTGCCTTTAACATGGAAATTGCCCAAGCCATAAGACAACATCTTAAACTGATTTCTTCTAAGTGCATATGCAGGCAGCAGAGTTGCTGGCTGGGGGCTAAACAGGGAAAAGACAAAAATGACAGGGATTTCACCATTGAATCCCTTTAGCAGGCCGCTGACACATGAATGAGGGCAAAGAGAGAGAAAGGAGAGAATAGAGAGCGAGTGAGGGAGGGAGGGAGAGAGAAAAAAAAAGAGTAGACAACCAATTTGGGAGTAATGCAACTAAAAACTGACAAGTGTAATTTCATCCATCTGGGCCGATGTGTAAAAAGCGCTGCTCTGAACATTCCCCATGATTCCCCCTGATTGATCTTCCCCTGGTCTGAAACACCTATTATTAGCCACGAGCCTAATAGCACCAGGATGGCTCAGCGCTCTCCCAGGGGCCAATTCTCCGGTCATCTGCCCCTCACTCACCACAGCTGTGGAAACCAACCAGGGAGAGGGAGGAGAGGGGGGAGGTGAGGAGGAGATAGAGCTGCCAAGAGGGGATGGAGGCGTACCTATTGGGGTGTGGGCTGGAAAAAGGGGGAGAGAGGTGTGGGGTTAGGGAGAGGGAGCGAGGTTGAGGGGAGAAGAAGAGAGGGGTAGAGTGGGCATGAAGAGGAATATGGAGAGGAGAGAAGGGGACTGGATGGAGGAGAGATGGAGACCAGTGCCTGGACATACATGGGGGTGATGGAGAACATGAGAGGAAGGTGGGCGTGATGGAAAAGCCAGGGGGAAATATTGGAGAGGGGAAAACAGGGAGACAAAGAGGAAAAAAGTTATTCATAAGCATATATATCCTAAAAGAAATCGATTTCACATTCTGCTGATTGTCACCACACAGTACCTTTACTAGCTTAGTGCTCATTTTAATTATTCAGGTGGGAAAAAATCTGTGAAAAGGTTATCGCCAGGACATGATGCCTGACTCACATTGATCTTTCAAGTTCCCCAGGTGAGGAAGCTGCACTCACACGCTAATACAATACACCAGAGAAAGCTTGACAGAAGGCACAATGAGCTTGTTTAAATTGAATTAAAACTACAGGCCATGCAGTAGTTTCAGGCATAATGATGCAATGGTTATCCCTTGATTTTTCTTTTTTAATGGTTTGATTTTAAACTCTCTGCAGTGCACTACTGAGGTTTTTAATTTTCTTTCATTAAGCTCATTTCAAATTAGCCGAACTAACCTTAAACTGTAACACTTCTTAGCGTTTATGAGCAGCATACGAACCATTCATTTTATGTTTACATAATGCTAATAAATGCTAAATAGGGGGACCTAAAGTGTCACCAATTAAATCATGAAATTGCTTTGTTTGATTCACTCAAATATTCAAGGTTGAACAAACTTAGAATAAGTGTGGCAAATTCATTTTGTAAACAATAATAAGGAAAGACAGTGTTCAAGGTCCCAAACCCAGATTTGACATTCGTCCAAGGTTAGATGCCAGCAATAAGGAAGTTTGCACCATAAAACTGAATGAGAAGAGTTGACTGGATTAAGGTCAGAAGTCATCTGTTAATTGCCCCTTCAGTCTCTTTGATTGAGTGAGCCCTCAGGTGAGGCGTAATGCATTTTCAAGGGCAATGATGACAATAATTGGCTACCTTCACTCCAACAAAATCGACAAAGTCCTAAAAATCTCTCCACTCCAATCTGACAGTTCAGAGCAAATGAAAATAAAGGCCCTGAGGGCTTTCCAGGCAACGAATTAATAACTGTGATATTATGCGGCTGGCTATGGACATGAGCTCCCAGCCAAATCATTAAGCTGATCTGTGATCTATGGTTTGTTCACTCAGACTGTCCAGCTCACAGGTGTTTCCCAGCAGTTAAAATGACAGTTAAAAAGCTCATATCTTAATTTCCAGTGTTTACATGGTCTTGTCCTGCTTGATTCATAAATTCAACCTTATTTGATTTCAAGAATGAAACGTGGCATAATGCTGCAGGTCACTAATGAGACTTTGCCTACTATTTTTTTAAATCATTTTTAGTTTTAGCTGTGACCAGACAACAGACGTTCTGATTTTAAAAATAAGTCATGTTAATGCCCCTTCTCTGCATTATACTCTTTGTGTAGTACAGTGAAGCCATCGTAGATTCCTAATCCTGTGACAGTAAGAGATTTTTAATGTGTCTGAGTAGTGCTCAGCGATTGGTGATTTCTAACATTTAGTTTTTTTTAAACCTACTATAATAATATTTCTGTAATATTCTGTTTTTGTAATATTTTACTTTTTTTCTGTTCTGTTTTTTTCAGGGGGGTGTTTTAAAGATGAACTGCACTATAATAGCAAATACAAGATTTAAACACTTTAAAACGAACTGGAGATGTAATGAATGTAATGAGGCTGATGATTAGGATGATAATGGCAGCAACAGCAACAACAGAAGCACCAAAATAAACATCAAGAGCCAGCTAATAATAATAGTAGTAGTAGTAATAATAATTATGGTGATGATGATGCAGGTGTAAGAGCTGTGAGAAAGAAATTTGGTTATTTAATTGTTTTTTTTGTACAAAATATGTTAAATACAAATTAAAAAATATTTTCTATAAATAAGTGTACCTAAAAGCACAAGAGCTGCATCTTTGCAGGGTAGAATTAAATTGTGGCATAAAGAAAGACTTTACGTGACCTGATGAGTCCTTAAAGGAAACACATAATTTGTTAGGTGTTTGCACTTTTACTAACTATGCATTTGTCAGCCTAAAAGTGTTTTTAAGTTATTTTTGTTAAATAAATAAATAACCTGAAATTAATTTTAATTTTAATATTTGATTGCAGGCCTGCTGTTTGCACAATATCAGTTACTCCAACTGTTAAGCCTGCAAGAGCACAAGACCAAAACCCAGCCTGATCAGAAATGCAGTTTCAGGTAGGAGTGTCTTAAGGTGCAGCAGACAAAGGTCCACAGCTATCACCTGACAAACTCCTACAACCCCACAGCTCATGTGAACCCGAGCAGCATCTGAGAATGAGACCCGCTCGCCCACCACACCATATTTCACCAGGTGTGACCCCTTTTCTCTTCACTTTTTTTCCACTTCAGTTCACACCGTGCTCTTAAATTACAAGCTCTTTTATTTTGCAGTCAGTGTTGGCTATTGTGTGCAGCACTTCCTCCAGTGAGGCATTCTTTCCTATATGAGAGAGCCAGGACTTCCCTGTTGGAGCGCACACTATTTTGTTATTAGTTTGTATTGTTGTGTGCATGGAGGATATGTGAGTGTGTGTGTGAGTGTTGTGGGGAGGGGTGGTGGGGAAAGGGGGTGTGGGGGGGGAGGGCAATGTAGGTGAGAAATCTATCCACAAAATATTCCCACCAACAGTACTTTGACAGTGTTCTGCAGAGTTTAATCCTGTGTAAGATCAATAACAGTCTATATTTTCTCTAGTGCCATTTTAAAGTGCTTCATGGAGAGTTTAGTGCTCTTTTTCACTGTTTATTTTTCTTTTATGAGCTTCATCTGGTTGCATTTGCAGATGAGCCTCAGTTTCAGGTCTTAGTGAGATTTTAAAAGGCCAAATAGTGGCTTTATTTATCCAGCATATGCTCCAAATTTTCTCTCACTGTCATCATTATCCTATAAAGATATACTTCACATGTTTACTATTAGCCAATAAAACTGTGTTCCTATCAGTCCAGGCCTTACAATGCACACAATTCAATTTATAATAAAAGGGCTTTATATTTGACTTTGTTATTCTGTATGATGTGAAACAAAGAAGTGAGTTCCACTTATTTGTCACTTATTGAGTAAAAACATCCTTCCATCCAAGATAGGTTTCCTGGAGGATACCAGACCTTGTTAAGAATCCAGCCATTTTAATTACCATTAATTTCCAAAGGAGAAACGTTAATGGTTCCTGTACTAATGCTATCGTGCAGTGTAACAGTCTGTTATTCTGTACTTGCACAGTTGCATTGGGAATTTATATTTCGTTTTCTATCCATTGTGAGGGGTTCTCTGTAATCCAGTGTTTCAGGTGTCATTTCTCCATCTATCAGGCTCCACGCAGCGCGTGGCACGCACTAGAGGCGCGCTCGGAGTCGAGGTTTTAAACCACCTGCCTGCTGGGACACAGACAGTAACCCCGTCCTGCACTGATGATGGCCTCGCCTCACGATCCGTCTGTGTCACTGATAAATAATCCTCAGATTACGGTTAACTATATTATCTTAACGAAATAAAAAACACTAGAGGCCTAAAACATTCTCCATCCTGCTTGTTTTTTTTAACCTGCTACAATGATATTTCTGTTGTTTTCAGTTTTAAAATAGTATTGTTCATATTTTACATTTTAGAGTTTTGATGTAATTTTTTTTAAAGAGTACAAAATTTAAACGAACTGGTGATGTGATTAATGCAATGATGATTATTATGGCGATAACAGCAGCAACATGACCATCAAGCCCACAAATAATAATAATAATCAACATAATAATGTTTAGACACAATATGCTTGAAAATAACAAATATTAAAAGCAATAACTGACGACTACTATATTTTACATACATGTATTTACTATGTGTGATCAACCTTTTACAACCCAGGTTTGCGAAGTTCTGATAAAACCGGATTTCGTCCTTCCATATTAATCCCCCACCCCTCACTGTGACCGGTTACTGTTCATTTGCTTAATGTTTAAATATTTCAGGAGTTTGCTTAATGCTCCTCGTTGTCAAATACTCTTTCTTAATTTCTCCCTCTCTTTTTTCTCTCTCTCTGTCAGGAAAAGATGAAAAGGCGCTCTAATTATTCCAGGAGGTTGGGAAATAAATGATTGTCTTTGAAGTAGGCCCGGGCCTTGGACTACATTAGAAGCCAAGCATGTGATTTGCAACTGTTGAAGTAAAACCCTCACTCTGCTGCAGGAAAGAAAAAAAAAAACGGGAAATGAGGAGGGTGGATTCTCGGCAAAAGAAAATGGTATCTTTGTTTGCTCCCCTTTGTTTACCAGGGGATTCTTTCTCATTTTTCCTCTTTTTTTCATTTTTACTAATTCATTTCAATGGCTTTCAAACTGGAAAATGGAAATGTTGCTCCTGCCCTCTATTTCGGCGGCAGCGTCCTGGCAACAGAGCAATTTTCTATCATCAGGGATAAACGGCATCGAACAGTACATTCTGATAAAAAAGAGCCCATGATTGCTGGCCTTCCTGTCTGTCATCTATCGACCAAATCCTCTCCTTCAAGACCGACCACTGTGCTGTCAGACCTAATAATGTCGCGTATTAAGTCGGGGGGGGGGGGGGGGGGCAATGCACTCCCCGGCACTCACTAGTCTTATTTGTCACCAACATCAAAAAAAGTTGATCTGAATTTTGATATAGCTCCTTAGTTATTGACTTGGTGTAGAGGGTCATATAGTTAGGCGTCTTCACCAGGTCATAGACTGGCTATAACCAGCAACACTGAGCCTAAACTGATTTTAATATATATGTATGGCCATACAACTGCAGATGGAAGACAGGATGTATAACCCGTATATCTTCCTCCTTGGCTACATCTCACTGCATTGTCTTAATAACGTTGATAATATGGCCATAAATGTAGGGACATTGTGGCCATTTCCATACCCTTCTTCTGATCACGATTTCACCATTTCAGAAACACGCGACAAAATATAAAAACCATAGTGCAGGAAACCGAGCAACATAATCACTCAGGTGAACCTAAACGTGCAGTGAGAGAAGGCGACAAGAGAAACAAGCAGTCTTAATTAGGACTCGGGCCCTGAGTGGGACCAGTGCAGCTTCAGCCGTGCCAAATTAAATCCATTAGTCTATGAGAGGCTGTGAAGACTCAGTGGCGCAGGCCTTTGCCTATTTGTGGTCATTTAGCTCCACTGCCATCACGCTACACTGGGTCCATCTGAAGGCTCTCCTGCACCTGGGGCCATGCATATGCCAATTTTGCCATTTACTCGAGAGATAATGCAATCCTAATTTATGATGCAAAACTTATTGTAAACAGTCGTCTGCCTGGGAGCGCATGGTTTTCTTTATGACAAAACCACACTAATTTTTCTTGGTGTAGTTGCACGCTTTTACAAAACACATCAAAGCTTTGCATAAGTGGTTTTGCATTAGGACGCTGTGCGCAATTTATGTGCGTAAAAGCGGCGCACCACTATTTTGGCATTAAAGGCTGATCGGTGATCATTTTGGACTGGTGTGTGCGTGTGTGTGTGCCCCCCCGCGCGCGCGCGCGAGTGCGTGTGTGTGAGAGAGAAAGAGAGTGGAGTGCTGCCTTGTTACAATGAACCATGTTATACTGACAGCTGTGTAGTATGCATCTGCGCTTCCCTCTCGCCACTTCCCGCCCTTCACACTGCAGAGATGTAGAGTCGTCGACGCCTGAGTGTCTGTGCAGCGCCAGTGGCTTTGCCTTGTGGAGAAGGGAGACGTGTTGTTTAAGTGCCTCCCGGGCTCTTTCTGCAGTGACAAGCCTCAGCCTCCCCAACCGCCCGGGTCCCCGAGCAGCAAAAGGAGGTGGATTTCCATGTGAGCCAGTCAATAGCTCGTAGAGGGACCGACCGCAAACGCCAAGTCACTAGCTGAAATTATGACCTGAGTCTTGCAGGAACTCCGTGTCAGAGCTCAGATATGATTAACACGTGTGGCCAGATGCGGAGTTAAAACAGCCAGTGACACACATTCAGAGAGAGGAGGAGAGAGAAGAGAGGGAACTAGTTATTTTACTTTTTTTAACTGGTCTGGTTAGTGCATAAATCGACCCTGTTATATGTGCGTAAATGACCTCACCTAAGTGCGTACTGATATTACCACTTTAGGTTATCCTGAATAATATTCAAACTGACAGTGACTGCGTAAACCACAAAAACGCCAGGTTACAGACGCAAGATAAAATATTCTCAGCTTTCATGTTCCCGACACAGACAGTGGAAGTCAGGGAAATCCCAGGCCTGGAGTGATTTTAGAGAGTCATTCATCAACGTTTATAAGACAGCTGGAAATAAAGACCACTTCTGTTAAACCACCACGGCCATTGATTGTGCTGAAGGTCAATCATCTACTTAGGGACAAAGTGATTTTTAGATTTGCCGCTGAACGCTGTTCATTTTGTGATTGACATTTTTACGAAGTGAAATATTAAATAATTTCTCTCCAGAACAAGGCTATGAACTCCTAATGGGACAGAGTACAACATCAAGCATCATGCAGCAGGTGAGGCGTGCGTTAGGGGCATCACGTCTCATCTTTTAAATGTTAAAAACGTTTGGCACAAACGCAAACTGATTTCTAATAAAATTAAATGATCGTTTAGCCTATACATTTTGCCCACTGATAACATCACATACAGGCCGCCGGTTTCTTCACATGCCTTGCCAATTAGACACGGCTGTCAGCATGCACAAGGTTACATCTTAAACATCTCAAAAGCACCAAGGTCTAGTATGTCATGTTCTCTCTATTCTAACAAATCCGTCCTTTCAGCACTCCATTTAATCTCAGTGTGCCTAAAGACGTTTCCCAACACGCCTGCGGGACACCAAGACTTTGACATTAGTTATCCCGCAAATTATAAGTCCTGCGGTGGGCGCACAGATGATGCTGCAAAAACCTAAAGAATGAAAACGTCTCATCCAATCGAGCCCGGAGATTTTAGCCCGCAGGGAAGCGACTACCTTCGCTGCAAAGCATGTAGGTCTTTGTAGTAGCACTCAAAGGCGATTAGAAAAGGTATAGGATCTGGTTTCTCCTCTGCGTGTCCAAGTGGAACACGGGCAGGGGAATTGGCCACTATGTTAGATCACTGAGGGGTGACCAGGGTGTGCTGAGTCCTGCAGGGTCTGCACGGCCACACTGCTGTGTGCCTTGAGCTTGCTGAATTATCATAGGCAATAAAATCATTCATCAATGTCAGTGAACACAAAAGAGCATTCAAATGAAGCTCTTACCTGCAGCCCTCCTGACGACAAAGCATGATTATTATTATTATTATTATTTTTTTTTTTTACAAAAAATTTAAATTAAGGAGAGTCTGGAAGGATAAAACCAATCCGTCTGGATGAGTTGCGGCTCACATCCCTGCCTCTGTGCTCCTCTCTTGGTCCGCTGCTGTAAAATGATTATCCGGCTGGGTTGTGCACTTTTAAATCCCACAAAGTAAATAACAACCATAGCTGACGATAATAGCAAGGTACCAAGTTCTTGTTACAGAAAAGGAGAAAATTGAAACTAAACGCTGCATTTAGACAACCATTTTTGATAAGAGGATAATTGAGGCGACACTGGCGTATAATTAGGGGATAATTTATGCTATATCCACTTTTATTCCACCCTCCCAAAATAAATCCAGTCCATAATCATTACAGGCGAATTGTTCTTAATTTTATAGCTGCAATTTGAGTAAAGTGTGGCCGCTAATCAAATAGGTTTTCGTAGTAACTTGATTGCAACCATAATTATTTTTCATCGTTTTTTGCTGGGTGAAACCGCTGAATGCTACATTGCGGCAGAAATGTGGTGAAAGTGGTGCATGGCATGATTTGATTATCTATTGCATTAATATGAGCGGAAACAGCATTTTATTCTTATTTGCGGATCGAACATCGCAGCCCTCAGAGGCAAACTGTATAATTTACATATATTGAGGACCCTATCAGGCCTCATGTTACAACGGGGATAAAAGACACTGTCAGTTTATCTCGGTATCCACCCTTCTATCTGCAAAATAACCTATTGTACCTCAGGCATATTGTTATGTGATGTGTCACATCTACTGTATTTTGAATTGTCTGAAGATCCTTAATCATATGGTCAGTAGCCCCAGTTATAATATATGTTGCTTTCTCATCAGAGGGGGGCTCAAAGAGGGACTGCTCATTATTTCATGATCAGAAATTCTTTATAATCTAATTCGCAAATATAAAAAATCCGTGGAGTTGGAGGCCTATTTTCACTTATTTCCACGGCTATTCCACCTGTTTCAGGACTTTCCTTGACATAAACCAGATCACTTCTCCAGTATAAATAAGTATAGTGTCTTTAAAAAAAACTATTTAAATGTATGCTTGACTACTGGGATTAGTTCACACGCATTTGTAAATGTTTTGATGCTTCTAAACGATGATAGATGACTTGTGAAGATGGGTATTTAATGTGTTGCTATCTTGTAACTCATTTATTGGCATTTGGTTTGAAAATCTGTTTCGACTCTAATATTATTAATGTTTGTATAATATATAAGTAATTAATTCCTGAGGGGAGGAGGAGTTAAACGCTGAGAAAAAGAGAAGCTCATATAGACCGCTGGCTCACTGGGCTAAATCAAAGTGCGCACTAGGCTATATGTTGCGCGTCTTGCGTAATTTGGGGGTTTGGGTGAAAAACAAAATCGACTGGGCAATTCTAAAAGAGCTGGTTCTGCGTGTGAAGCTTGTCTGTAGGAATTATGCGTCGTTCCCACCATATATTATTTCCCCCATAGTTGTGGTGGGAGCTGGTAAGGTGGGTTAACTCCAGCTCAAGTCTCCGTGAAGCGCAGAGCACTGATGACGTTGGGTTGGATGACCAATCGGGAGGCGCTGCCCTTTGGAGACAAACCATTTTACTTGTAGTGTCTGCATCAAGTCTGGAAGCAAGGGCTCAATTTTAACAGAATCCACCTAAAAATCTCTCCCTTAACTTATGCCTACCGTCCACCACTTTGAATGAGAATATCACAGGACAAGGGGGGAAATAAAGACGCCTCTGGAAAATTCGGGTGTTAATAGGACAATATCTGTTCGCGGTGGATAGGGGAGAGAGACAACAGCACAGCGAGAGAGAGAAAACCGATTTGGTCTTGAGAGAGAGGGGGGTGAGTGCTCTCAAGGCAGAAAATTCGATGATGACCATGACTACGATGGCTGACGGTCTGGAGGCTCAGGACTCGTCCAAGTCTGCTTTCATGGAGTTTGGGCAGCAGTCGCACTCACAGCAGAGCTCCCCGTCGATGGCCAGCGGCCACTACCCGCTGCACTGTCTCCACTCCGGCTCACACGCTCACCACCAGCACGACAACACCCCGTATACCGGGACCAACACCTACAACAGGTCGCTACCCTACCCCTACGTGAGCCATCCGCACCACAGCCCGTACCTGCCATCCTATCACAACAACACGGGAGGACAGACAAGGTTAGACGGCACAGGTAAGAGACCCTGTTTTCACCAGCCAAGTGGAAAATGCACCGCGTCATGTCCATAACCGGCGGCTGACAGTACCATTAGCGCATACCTTCTTTTAGTATGGGTGGCCCACAGTGGGGATCAAACCTTTTCTCCCTGTCAGTGTTGGTGTCGTGCCCATGTCACCGCACGGCCACTCCAAATTCGGACGAATGGTCTTTTCAAGCGTAGGTGGGCGATTACATTGAAGAAAAATCGTGCGTAAATGGCACCAGATAATTCGAGATCCAGCCTATTGCCTTCTCCTCCTGTTTTGCCGTCCCGTTTAGCACTCCCCTCACTTCCCACAAAACCTGTTTTAATGCCCGGGGTGTGATCATCACGGCCGTGCAATCCTCACCGACTACTCATGAAAATTAGTCAGCCCGCACGCCTCGAATGTTGTAATTAGCATTTAATTGACATGTCATTACCAGCAATATCCTAAATATGACAGCGTACGGGGATTGTGGCTGCCACGGCTCTTTAAAGGCTATGCGAGGTGTCAACGTTTATCAACCCCGAATTTTCATTTTTAGACAGCTTCATTCGGCGCCTCTCAATTTATTCCCACCTTCCCGGATTATTTGACACATTTGTGTCTTTCCTGCACTGTAAAGGAAGGTAACTATAGCTGTTGGTGCTTGAATAATAAAGTTGTTTTTTTTTGTTGCAGAGCAGCAGAAAACGACAGTGATCGAAAATGGGGAAATTCGTTTTAATGGGAAAGGCAAGAAGATTCGCAAACCCCGGACAATTTATTCCAGTTTGCAGCTTCAAGCGCTGAACCACCGTTTCCAGCAAACACAGTACCTCGCTTTACCGGAGCGCGCCGAGCTGGCTGCCTCTCTAGGACTGACACAAACCCAGGTATGAGGAGGACTTTTCACTGTGGATTCTTACATTAACACCTGCAAATCATCATGTGGCATCTATTACTATAATAAAGATTGGGATATTATTATTATTATTATTATTACTGTGTTTTTTGTGGGAATGTTCTTTCTATTTATGATTTAATACTTACAGTTTCGCAGAAACTAACCAACCTTCTCACAACAGGCTCTTTATCCACACGTCTTTTATTAATTGCACGCGCCCCTCTCTGGTACTCTCTCCTCTCTCCTGCAGGTAAAGATTTGGTTCCAGAACAAGAGGTCAAAGTTCAAGAAGCTACTGAAGCAAGGCGGCAACCCGCACGAGAGCGACCCTATACCAGGCTCCATGTCTCTCTCCCCGCGCTCCCCGACCATCCCTCCAATATGGGACGTCTCGGCCTCTTCCAAAGGAGTAAACATGCCGGCCAACAGCTACATGCCCGGCTACTCTCACTGGTATTCCTCCCCACATCAAGATTCAATGCAGAGATAGACTGATGAGGCAAGAAGGTCAGCGAGCTGTGCAGAGGCCTCCGGATCTCCGCCGTGCAGTTTCCAACGTAGCCTACAATTTGTGTCAGCAGAAGAGACTGGGTGCTCAGCGCCTCTGCTGAAGGATAAAACGCAGCCAAGCCTCGGCGTGATGACACAAACAAGGGAACTAACGATTTGTTGTTTTTTTTTTAGCGTACCTGGCTGTTCAGTGGGCTCGCATATTTGTTATGCTTTCATTCATGTCAACATCTGAACGTCAATATACCAAATATTATCAGTGACATTTACGCCACTTTGGGGGCAAAGACTGCTTACACACTCTCTCCATGCGCCGTGGCGCCCAGAACCTTCAGCCATGGTGGACTCCTGACTGCTTTCTCTTTTGGTTGTTTCTCCAACATGCAAAACCAAGCAAATTGTCTGTCTGTAAATATAATCTGCGATTTTAGTTGTACATACACTTTTTATGTTTTGTCAGATTGAGTAAACCGTGACTCAAAACAGATGCCTGCTGTTGCATGATTTGAAGGAGAGAGGAAAAAATGCATTTTAAACTAGGCCTTTTTTTATGCTTCATGTTGGGCCAACATCACATTAGAACAGGCCCATTTCCCGTCACCCTGGTGTGCACGGGCTTATAACAGGCAGCATGAACATACGGTAATGACACAGTGCTCAGTGAAAAGCCCATTTCATCAGAGTAAACATTTTAAATAAATCCAAAGCGCTCAGAGGCTGATGAAGTAAGCTGCGGTGGATAGATTTATCACATGCACTCAACACCGGAGGAAATTAACTTACCCTGCCCCGCTGCTGTCTACATTCACCTCGAAAGACATTTGCTCCAGGTCCAGCTTATCTTGTCATTTCACCCTCAATTATTAGAAGTATTGACAAAATGTTTTCTCCCTTCTCTCCGTCCTAATGCAGGCCGTTAAATGCCAAGCTCCACGGGATCGATGTTGAACAAAGCAGCCAGCTGCAGTGGCGTTCAATATGAAGGAGATATTTGGGACAATTTGTGGGTTTTTATCCAAGTGAGGCTTTTTTTCCCATTCTCATAAATGCAGGCATAATTAGGGTAATTTTTGATGTAGCCCGCTGATTACAGCGTTTTTACCGTCAAAGATAATTACCTGTAATTTTCTACCACTTTTAATACTAAAAGGCATCTTTATTTGGATTTGAGGTAGCACAGATGGAACAAAAGGGAAAATTATTCGGTTATTCATATACAAATTGCTGAGAAGAGTGAGCGCTCGGGATATTATCTGAAATTACAACGCTGAAAAGCTTCATGCAGCTGTCAAGTCACGGATGTCCCACTGGCGCACATTCAGTCTACCTGGGCCCCCAGCCTGGGGCCTATCTGCTCCTGGGCCGGGCGCACCCTGATCTGCAGGCTGCAGGGAGCTCGGAGCAGCAGTCGAGTAAACATCAACAAAGCTCACAAATGCACGGTTGTGTTATTTAGAGAGAAATGACACGTTTCATCATGTTTTGCAAATGGAAAAAAGGCTTTGATGAGCTAAATCAGATGGGTTAGACAGACAGACAGACAGATAGAGAGAAGTTACATAGGCCTATATAGATAGATGTAAAGTGCAGGTGGGGGATGCAGGGAGAGATGTGTCACTTCTGGCTCTGTGAGCTCCATCAACTGATAGCTGCTGCACTATAGCAGGCGTCTCGTGTAAAAAGCACCTACAGCACCTGACAAGATTTCACCCAACATTACCACATTAACGTGTATACCTCAACAGCGCCGAAACAACCCCACAAAGACATCCACAATCCAAACACTCTCTCCTACAGATGAAAAGATATATCAGATTTTAGGAAAATGCAACATTTTATCCCATTTCTCTGTCACAGTCCCGACTGCACGATTCAGCCCAGAGTCTACTGAGGAGTAATTTTCAGTCAAGAGTGTCACAGCGTCCTCTTAAGATCAGGAACAGTCACAGGACAGGAAAAAATAAGATTTATCCTTACCTTTCTCCGCTTCTCTAACATAACCAAACAGCTCTGCGCGGTTTTACTACTGGTGGTTGAATAAGCAAATCCAGGTGGGAAAGTGTTTGCACACCCCGGTAAGCTCTTATATATTGCCTGCAAAATTAGCTGTTATTACTGTCACTGTTTAGTGATGGCGAGCTTGAAAAAAAAGCCCACTGCAATCAAGAACCAAGCGCATCTTTGCAAATTATAGGTAATTGTCAATGTCCAGATTA